TCACACTAAATATTAAAAAAAATTTTTTTTTAAATGTATTATTCTTAAAGTATATTTAATTAAAAAAAAAATTTTTTTAATAAATAAAAAAATCATTTAATCTAAAAAAAACCATCCGCCATTACTTTCAGCCGGCACTGTATACAGTATACGTTTTTTTTTGTGGCACGCACAAAAGGGGCAATTCCCTTGAACAGTTTTATAATCGTCTGTACGATCACAGCAGCATAACCCATTGTTTGTGCTCTTTCCAAATCAGGACCAATACCAAAAGAATTGTGTGTGTATAAAAAGGGGAATTCCTTTCTGGTGGAAGGAATAAAAACGATTCTAACAATATTAAATAATAAATAGTGTTATTTACCTATCTCTCAAAAATTTCCATTATACCCGAATCGTTTATCTAGAAATTTTCATACTTAAGATAAAAGAACACTCGAAATCGTTATCGAAATTACTGTAGACTTATTACTAAAAAGTAAATCACGCGGGGAAGAACTATTCTAATCACGTGTTTTATATAATTCGCTTTAATAAATATGTTATCTTGTATTATCCACATATAGAATATTAAGCACGGGATATAGTGAGCCATATCTTATAGAATTGGAAATGAGTCAATCATCCGTGTCTACTCTATTAGAAAAAGTAAATCAGAATGGAAAAACAACATTGCAACGTTTAGAAGTTTTTATTAAGACCGTAAGATTTCCGTTAAAAGCTAAGGTATAATGGTTTGGTTTATTATTGGATATATATTTGTATACGTCCGTGTGACCTTTTCTATGAGTCATTCTTATGGTTTTTTTTTAACTGAGGACCGTCGCGTGATTTGTGAGAAAAAAAGTAACGACTTGATTTGTTAATCATCTAACGGTTGTTTCCCCTTATACTGTATATAGTCTTATATAGAATCCGTTATTATAAAAAACAAAGCAATCGTTACTTCCTGGGATAATGCAGGCACTTATAAAATAAATAAGATAGATGATTTTTTAGTAAGTATTGAATTGAAGTTTTTGTAGGGAAATTTCTATTTTTAATATCTAAATTTATAATTTAAGATTGCCGAAAGAGTCGAAACACCATTAGATATTGAGAGTATTACGTATAATGATTTTAATTTAGTGAAACACATTATGGATGGAAAGAAATACCAAGTTCAAAAGGCTTTGTGGAATAATGAAGGCGATAAGATATTTGTTATTTTAAAACTTGAGGAAAAATCGGATGAAACAGAACATCGAGAAATTATTGGAGAGGTATGTGTGCATACAGTAACTCATTTTGTATCGTGACGTAACGAAATTGACTAATAAAATTTGTAGCTTCATGTTTATCATTCAGTTAATGCGAAAAATACCCATGAAGATATCATAAAATTTTATGGTTCAAGGTATGCTTAGTTTATAGTAATTAACAATAGCATTTTATTAATTTAACAAAAACCATATTTTAATGTATCCGACCATTCTAGTCAATGTACGTAGCAGCTTTTTTTTAAAGATAAATACATCTATCCAATTATACTTATTTGAATATGTTTACACTATAGTGCCTGATGGATCTCCCGTAATAGTTCTAGAATGCATTGAAAATCAGGACCAACATAATAACTTATATGAAGACCTTAGTGAAGAAATAATGATCACGGGAATTATGCTAAGAGAACAACAAAAATACTGTGATGATCATCCCCATGATCCATCTGCTGTATCGGATAATTCGAGCATGGAAAAATTATTTCCCTATTGAATTTTAGAACGTCTTTCCTTTATACATAAATTTAAATTTATCTATTTAAATTTTTTTATTGAGTTACTTTATACTTAACTTCATAATAAGAAATAGCTTGTTAATTGTCTTTTATAAAATCAAATTTGGTTTTCCATATTACCTTTAAGATTTATTATATTTTATTTTGTTAGCAAATCTATTTTCTTAAAGACCCTTTATACATTCTTTTTATAGCCCCTTAAGACCATTCAAGCTTTTTTTTTGTTATATACCGAATACATTATTAATCGATAAACTTTCCATGCTATGTTTGGATATGTAATTTACTTGGACGTTATTATTTGGTTTATTTTGTGCAATAAACTAATGGTATATTTAAAGTAAGTAACTATAAATTAAATTTGAGCCAGAAATAATATGAAAAATGGATTATCAATAAGCCAATAATTTATAAGGAAAACTTGTTCGTTTCAAAGTTTATGGTACAGGCAGCAAATAAATTTTATTTTATACGTATAGCATAGCATTAAATATGTTGACCAATTTTAAGTTACCGGCCCAGGTTCTAAGCTACACAAACCGAACAGTCCAACGTCACATGATAAATCTCGAGAATTTGTTAACAGTAGTATACACGACATATACAATAAATTTACATTGTTATATCGTAAACCGGTTAAACCGATAGTTTGGGCCGAACTGAAAATTATTTAAGTTTGACCGAGTTAAACTACTGCAATTCCAATCAAATTACTTAGCATTCTACACATTGTTATTATAATTATTTTATCTATTGCTTATTTATAATTGTATATTGTACAAATTACATTATGAAAGCTTGAGATATATTATATGTTTTTGTTAAAAATTCAATAACAAATTAATAAAAAAAAGCAAAATTACATATTGTTACTAAAATTTTTGAAAATTTTTATTAACTTTTGATAGATACAACCGTATATTATCAACATTTATTAATATTTATTAGTTTTAGTTATATTTTCTATAGAATACTTTCTTCTTTTCCCCAAGAATTCTCAAAACACCTATATCGTTTTGAACGGCGCAGCAAATTTGGAGCGCCGCAACTCAAAAACTATGTTCTGAAGCTTCTTTGAGGTTCTAAGCAACTATTTGCGGAAAGACTAGTGGAATAACTTTTGTTAAGACCTCAAAAGCGACTGTCTTGCTGATATTTTGAGTAATTTTGCTTTTTCTCTTACGGATAAGAATTTTCTTTGATGATCATTCTAAGTGTAACAAATTATTCTTTAACCAAATCTTTTGTGTAAATAGATGAACCACACATAAATAATTAGATTAGAGGCGACCAACAATTGACCAAAACATTATAAAAAGGCTGTAATTTCCCCCAGCTGTGAAAAAAGAAACAATTATCATAATTATAAAATTCTGAATTCTTATATTTTCTTTATCTTTCCTTTAATAAAATTATATCTATCCCATATTTTTCTTTTATATTTTTCTATTGTTTTTCTATTGAAATTCAATATTTTTTATATTGTTATCTTTTGATTCCAATATTAAGGCAGAGTTGTGAAATTGACTGAAATAATAATTTTAAATTGTTTATGTTGATTTATTTAATAGTATTTGGAACAAAACATATGTTAAATAAATTAAATCATTGAGAATTGGAAATTATTTTTATTAGTAATTTTGAAGTCTGTCAAGGGAGAAACTGAAAGTTTCAATATATTTGATTGTGAATTTCATCTTTCTTTGATTTTCTTTGATATTTCTTTGATTATTTTCTTTTATTTTTCTTTATTCTGTTCCTATTTTCTTTTATTTCATAGAAACATCCTGTTCACTGCGAGTCTAAATCAGCACAATTCTTATTTTGCTCTCCCAAGGCAGTAACACTATGGTAAAAATATAAACTAAAATATATACTTCTACAATAAATTATCGAAATCGTTATATGAGTTAACAATTTTTTTTTAATTTAATTTAATTTAATTATTTATAGTCAGCATAAAATAAAATAAACTATTATCTTAATAGTTTATTTTGACATAATTTAAGCATAGCAAATTAATATTTAGAATATCTGCCTTTAGCTGCAATAATGGCTTGAACCTTTCGGAATAAACTCAAAACTAAGTGCCTTATGATTTCTATACTTATTTTTGCCCATTTTTCTTGTATAGCATTAATTAATTCTTGTATAAATATCGGTGAAAGCTTTCTTTTTCAAATTTGGCAATCTAAGTAATTATACAAATTTTTAATTGGATTGAGATCAGGACTTTGGGTGATCCAACCTAAAACTTGAATTGCATATAATTTGAGCTACCAAGTTATATAAGAAGCAGTATAACAGGTAATACTATCTTACTGAAATATTGTGCCTGGACTGTTATAAATTCAAGGTATAAAACTGGCAGCTAAAATATTTACATAAGCTTCCAAATTCAATGTTTGTTCTATGTGCACTAAAGGGCCAATACTATTTCATAAGAAACAACATCAAAACATTACTGTTCACTATCAAACTTTATAGTAGATTTAATACAGTTTATATTATAGGCTTCCTCAACCCTGCACCAAACTTGTTTTTATCTATTGTTGGCAGGAAACTGATGTGGGGCGTGACTGCACAAACACATTCTGGTGTGTCACGTACCCTGATTTGCAATAATCTGAGACCTATAGTCTATAGCGACATGTAAAAGTAATGATGTAATTTTAGAAAGCTTAAATTAGCCATAACCTTAAAAAAAAAGCTTATTGATTACAAATAGTCTATTGGAGCTTAAGGAGGATCGCATAGCATAATTGTAGCTTAGCAAGGGTACACGAAATAAGATAAAAAGGAGGAACCGAAAAGAAAAGGAGAGCCACGTAGCACGCAGTACAGATAATAAGAAAAACTGTTTCCTAAATTAAAACCTTCTTAATTAGGACGTGTGTTTATTGTTGCCAAACCAAGTAAAAACTAATTAACTTACCTAATCCAGTACTTGTCGCGAGATAGGATAGCTGAGATCACAAAGAAAAAAATAGTAAAGATTTATCAAGAGAAGCAAACAATGGAAAGAGAAGGAAAGCGTTAGTAGAACTTGGCTAAACAACTCATACGCCTCAAGTCAAAAAGCCATACACTTACCAAACGTTACACAAGAAGTGCTTAGGAGAAGTGACAGACTCGTCGAGAGAGATGTTAATACTATTAAACTCAAATAAGGCAAAATGTGATTCATTAAACCATACGATTCATTTCTATTCTTCATTTCAATTATATTTCATTCTGCATCACTTAAGTCAAGCTAAATAATATTTATTTGATAAAAGCAACTTTTTGTGCTACATAGCTTCTTAGTCTAACCTTGTGTAAATAAGTTCAAATTGTATTGTTGTGAAATGCTGTGTTAAGGTGGATGTTAACCTTGTTTAATATGATGCCTAGGGGTGCAAAACAGTTTTTTTTAATAAAGTATTGCAATGAATGCTTGTCATGTTTAAAAAAGGATTTTGGTTTTTCGGGGCGTGTGTTAGGATGTGGGGATTTATTTTTTTAATATCATTTTATTATGTTATAAACAGTTAAGGAAGGTATATTAAGTTTAGAGATAATTATGATACCTTTTGTACCAGAAAGATAGGCACTGATTATTTGTTTATGTTGTTGGAGGCTTAGCTTAAAATCTTGTATTTATTGTACAACAGGAAATTATAAAATAGAAGAAACAGATATGAGAAAATTTTTTATAAACATAATCAAATTAAAAAAAAAATGCATTTTAAAAAAAAGTTTTTGTTATTATTAGCCAATTATATTGACCCATTCTGATAATTTATTGTAGGGATGTATATAAATATTATTTTTATTAGAATATTCAATTGTATTAATATATATAGTGTGAGTCATAATTTTTTGGAATTTGATTGCTGGTGATCTGTACATAGGTGAGTAACCAAATTTAGATAGGAACAAGCCACAAAAATTTACATGTAAACAATTAGATTTTCAACGAACATACCTGTGGATTCTTGGTCCCTCGGCTCTTCTCTCGCGGCATAGATCGAAGTTAGAAGGACCGTCACCTCTCTAAAAAAACAGCGTCAATTGATTTTATATTATTGGGAAAAGGTGTGCGCGACGCAAAAAAAATACATACCATGACGAAGATACTGACCTCAACAATCTACTACAACATCAAAAAGCTAAAAAATACTAGAAATGTAACTCACCTAAAAGGAGCTGGTCGTCCACAGACGTATTCGAACGAAATAGTACAAAAAATCAGGCACTATGTGGAAAAAACACCTTCAATATCTACCCGGACTTTAGTGACGAAATTAAATGGAGCAGTATCCCAGTCAACTGTTGGGCGGATTTTAAAGACCCTCGGCTATAAAAATGTCGTCCCCAGATCAGCACCAATGCTTACCGAAGCACAAAGAGAGAAACGACTGAAGTGGGCCAAGAAACACCAAAACGACAACTGGAGCAAGACTTTTTTCACAGACGAGACTGCATTTCAACTCTTTCGCAACACCTTCGGACAATGGTATAAGGGGAAGAAGCCGATTCGCAGGATTCCTAAAAATAAAAAAAAATATTTGCATGGGGAGGGTTTTCTAGGAGAGGTAAGGTCAGTCTGGTCTGTTTCAAGGAAACAATGAATGCAGAATTCTACGTTAACATACTAAAAAAAAGGATGACAGAGATCAAAAGCTTGATGGGGAAAGGATGGCGACTCCAACAGGACAACGACCCCAAATATACGAGCCGCCTTGCGAAGTCTTACCTTGAATCACATGTTCCTAAAGTTCTCGAATGGCCAGCCAATAGCCCGGATTTAAATCCGATCGAGAACTTGTGGAACATACAGTAGTTAAGACAAACATGGAGAAAAGCGCACCGCAAAATTTAGACGAATTAGAATCATTTATGAAGTGGGAATGGGACGCAATTCCGGAAACTACACTAATTAATACGGTTAAATCTATGCGAAATAGGTATAAGCTAGTAATAGAAAATAACGGTGACCATATTGATTATTAAAATTTTTTTTAAAAAAAATATAAATTCTTACCTTTTAAACAAGTGGTTATTTGTCGTGATCGGTTCAGTGATTGTAAAGTTTAATAATAAAAAATTTTTCCAAAAAATTATGACTCATACTGTATATAGATAAATATTTTGTTAAATATAATATAAAAAGTAAAGATGAAATATTTTGGAAATGATAAAAATACAGTATAATAAGTGCAATAGATATTGAAGGTACAGCAGCAGATTTGTAATACAAGAATATTCTAAAACAGATAATATTCTAAAGGTAAATACTAGTAATAATCAGACAAGAAGTAGTGAAGATCTTGGACAAAATCAAGTATAACAATACATATATATTTATTTTTATGATATTATAAAATAAAAAAATTTAATTATTCTTAATTTAAAATTAAACCATTATTATATTTTTTATATAACAGATCAAAATTCTGAATCTTTTTTATACCTACTGTATTCAATATACAATATGTTTTATTTTAAATATTACTAAATAAATTAATATGAATAATTGAATATTATTGTTTTATTTAAATTTTATAACTTTGTTCTATTATTAGAATCAAAAGATAATAATATATAAAAATTTAATTTCAAAAGAAAAACAATAAAAAAATATAAAACAATATGGAATAATAATAATTTTATTAAAGAAAATTACAAAAATTCAAAGTTTTATTATTATAAGTTTAGTTGTTTTTTTTCAAAACTGAGAAAAATATATATTTTTATAATATTTTGATTAATTATAGATTGTCTTTAATCTAATTATTTATGTAATTTATCTATTTATATAGAGAATTAATTAAAAAATTATTTGTTATACTTTGAATAATTATCAAAAAAAATTCTTATCTATAAAAGAAAAAGTAAAATTACTCAAAATATTCATATTTTAATAACAAAAGATGTTTTTCTAGTTTTTTTTACAAATAGTTATTTAGAATTTTAAAGAAATTTGGAGATTAGGTTTTTGAGCTATAGTGTTTTGAATTTGTTGTACTATTTAAAACTATATAGACATTTTGAGAATTTTTGAAGAAAATATTAAAATACTATATAGATAATACATGTAAAAATGATAAATAATGATAAATAAGAATAATATATAATAGAATCCATCCAAAGTTAATGAAATTTTTAAAAATGTTAATAACAATATGGTAATATTAGTATTAATGCTATTAATAATATCCATTATTCCTTTGCAAAACCCATATGATGTAGCTTTAGGTAATTGGTGGTTCAGCAATCATGGCATTTACTTAGTATTATATAGTAGGTCAGTATTCAAATTGTTACAATTTTAAATTTAAACATTTCTTATAAATTTAGAATTTATTTGTAGCAACAGACTTTTTATTATTAATTCAATAGCATAAATGATTTTTTAATGATATTTCCGGAATACAGTAATCAGTATACAATAATTATGAAAATTTTGAAAATTTTTAATAAGCAACTAAATGGTTTTCGTACAAACGAAAATCAATACTCAATCAAAATTATTTAAATTAAAAAAAATTTTTTTTTATTATAATATAGATTAACAAAACCAAAACAATTTCGTTTGTAAATATTTTTAAGGTTCATCTTTGCAAGTTTTTTTTAATAATATCTTAATCAACTTGGTTTAATTTGTATAAAAAATGTACCATTAAAAGCACTGATATCCAATTATTAATTGTTGAAATATCTTTTATAACCGAGGAATGCTTATAGTCTATTCACATATTTGGTAATCGATAATAGATAAACAGTGACTCATTTTATTTTCAAACTGGAAGAATATGGTAATTAAAATTCGAAAACTGAATTATAATTACGAGAATCTTATATCTTGAGACTAGTATTTGCTGTTTTTTGTTGAAAGTAATTTTTTAAATCACAATTATTTTTATTCTGAAGGATTCAACACAGCTTCTTATTATTAAAAAACCAGATCAGTAAAAAAATAAGTTGAATTCCCTCACTCTCTTCAAGAAAGTCTTTCAACACGTATTATTAAACGATTTCACTATTTCGGTTTGTAAAGCATAATACGCAAAATGTTATATTGTTAAAGCAGTATTCAATCAATGTAACATATTGAATATTTATTTTAAAAAACCATTAACCCCAACAATTAAGAAAGCATTACGAAGAAAAAGGCTAGTGGTAGGAGGTCTCAGATTTAATAAATTCCTAAAGATTTTTTTTTCAGGGTTTCAAATTTTTCATCATACTTGCCATCGTCAAACGCAACATACTGACAAAATTTGTGAATATGATATCTGATTTCTAACAGATGGTTGACAGCGAATTCTAGAGAATATTTCTTCGTGCATAGCTCCCCCTGTTTAACATTTTCAATTAGAAATTCTTTTACAATTTGAAGCTCATTGGAGATGCAATTCCAAAAATCTATAAAAAAAGGAGATTTTTTTCTTAAAAAAAAAGAAAGAAAAAGAAAGCGTAATATAATAATCATTGAGTGGTCATATAAAAATTAGTACAAACCGGGAATCCTCTTTAGAGCTGGCAAGGAATGTTTAATTATTCTATTCATTTCACCCATCACCTCTTCTAGATTAATTTTATTCACGTTGGTCACGCCTTTACTGTATGTTGATCTTGACAGGGCAATTATCCATTTCCTTGCTTCACTGTTATCAGGTGCAAGATAAGTCTTTTTTGAACCTTCACTAGTAGTTATAGTGAATTTCTTGAGATCTAAACTTTCTGGTGTAACATCGGAGGTCCTTACGTCAATTGACTCCGCACCTTCAGGAAAGAATTTATCTAACACAGATTTATTTATTCAAACAAATGTCAGAAACAACATCAAGTACAAAGTTTTCCTGTAGTGCCATTATTTCATATGAACTTGATACTTGCAATTCTCAAGAATATAAGGTCTACTCGTGTTGCCCACATTTACTCTCCTTACCACTTTTAAGTCGCCTCGTAGTTTTGGCGGCCATGTATTATCGAAACTTGTTACAACTACTGTATAATTAATTATATCACAAAGGTTTATGATTACCATATCACATGTGACCATAACAATCGCACTATGGACGTACCTGAATTAGCAAGTAAGTTTTTTATTTCATTATTTTCAGTTAAGTCAATCGGTAGATTTCCTTTTCTGTCTCTGATCGAACTATCAGCTCCATGGTTCAAACAAAATCGAGTCATGTCTAAATCATTATTTTGTGCAGCGCCGTGCAGCAACGTAGCTCTTTTAATGGAATTGATTTCATTGATGTCAATAAAGGCTTCGACTCGGGGGTCTTTAAAAAGATCTTTGATTCCAATATAATTGGATTCGGAAACGTGTTTGCGAAACTGACTCGTTGCACTTTCGATAAGTATGGCTCTAATTTCTACATAAATAAATATATAACGATTATTAAAAGAATGTTAGGATAAGATTAGGGCAATATGAAGTACCGCCGGTAGCCATGTCTATAAATTTCAAATTTTATTAAGTAAATAGTGAATAGTTCATGCAAAGAATCTAATTGGCAAACAAATTTTATCAAGAATACAGTGAGCACTATACCTTGAAGGAGTGCTTTGTGCGGTATATGATAATATTAAAAGAAAGGATGAGTTAGCAGTGTGATCAATTAGAATAAAACGATGCAGAAAAATCGAAGAACCATACATTGCCGATGTTCTAAAAGGCCAAATGAGAAAAGTCAGAAGCTTAAGGAAATAATGCCGTTGGCTTTTTATCGGGTTAAGAAAAAGAAATACCTCTGAGAGATGCTAAGTCAGACAAAGCACATTAGTCACATATGCCATTAGTGTGAAAAATACAAAGAGAAAAAATGCACCTCTGTTGGCTGTAGACACGGTATATTTCAAAAGGTTATAACTAGTCAATTTTCTTATGGGAATAACACTTATAGTTGACGAAAATGAATACGTACTTCTACAGAATACTGTAGACATGTGAATGTTATTTAAGCGCACGTTAATTTCAGAATCATCTAGCCCGATAAAAAATACCTTTGTGAAGTGCTATGAAGTAACATCAGATAAGTAGGTATCTTTGATTACACAATCAAACCGTAGTATTTACAATATGAAGTACAGTACCTTTTTTGAATATGACTAGCATATACGGTAAACAAATATTGACATTTATCATTTACTATTGACATAAATATAAGTAGTGTCATTGCTAGAAAAGAGGGTCCTAACCTTCGTGGAAACCTACAATCGCATCAATTACAAATTATAACGGTCAGTGTTATTGATTGACAATGGTTAAAATTGTAATCAGCGTAATGGGTATATAAAATAAAGTACCATTTCCAGGTTCTATGAACGTATGTATGTAAATTATATGGTTAGATATTCGGTCATCGATGGAAAAAGTGATTGTTAGCATACGGATACCTTGATCATATACTTCATATACTGCAAGATTACGTAAATAATAATGTGATGTTTGTGTTAGAAATATCTCAACCATAGCATTGTCAAAGACACAGTAGGATAAAAAATAGAAATACTCGTATTGGCCAGATCTATTGAAAGTTTGCAGATAAAGACTTTAGTCATGCGTAATCATCGATGAAATGAACGAGGAAGTTTTACAAATACCTTCGGGTAAAACTAAAAGTACACAAAAAATCAGTTATATATTTGTATTTTTTTTTAAAAAAAAGAAAGGAAAATGAGCATACCATTATTGAATGCTACAAATGCATCATAGATGCGAAAATATGTTAATTGTGAGGTGAGCGAATTTCGCCAATGTAAAAACATATGCTATACTATACTCTCTTTAGCTATGCCTACAAATGTATTGATTAAACTAAGTTAATTATACGCGATCAAATCAGTAGCAAAAGAAACGATAAGAACCATTGAGGATCACTAGGTGTTCGTGGGTAATATTATTGAATGGAATATATGTTAGCGGTATGTAATCGTATGAGGAATGGCAAAAAAAGGAAAGTAACAAAATGTATACGTTTGAGAGGCGCTGTGGATAAATGAAGGTTATTAAGAATTAGCCATGCATATTCTGCGTACAGACATTGGAACCAAAGTATTCATGCAACAGCGGATTTAAAGAATTTAAATACGCAGTTGCACGCATACTTTGTTGTATGCCCAACAAAAAAGGAAATCACAGACAAATACCATTAATGATATTATCTAAAAAATATATAAAGAACTGTCAATAGTAGTCATTTGATTATCATCTCCAACCAGATTGAAAGAAAAGAATAACCTTTGAATACTGTGACCACATGAAATCGCGTAACAGAATTAAGTTATCAAAGTGCTTCTTGCAAAATATCACAGAATAATGATTTGAATACCTTCACAGAATGCTACGAGTGTACGGGTATCGTCCGAAAAAAAAAAAAAAGAAAAGAAAATTCAAGACTATGTGCTAGTCATGCAATTGGTGGCAATAAATGATTATAAAAAAGAGAAATACCCTCGTGGTATACTATGAGTGTATAGAAATCGTTAGATGAAAGTATACTATTGTTGGAACAAATAGAAAATGTAGGCAAATAAAAACACCTTTGTCGACTAAGATGAGAAAGCGTAAATTAGAGGTCGCACTATGATTAATGGAGGGAACAAATTCTAAATTATAAATGACCGTCACCATAAGTAGCAATAGCTGTAATTGCGAGAATAAAAGTGTGCGTTGGTGTGCGTTAGTTGAACAGTCTGACAAGTATTGATCATGTGTCGTGATAATAACCTGAATGCAGTGCTATAAATACACAAGGACCATTAGATGTGATGCAGTCAGTAGAAGATGAGATTAATAATGAAACTACCTCGGAAAAAGGCTTTGATGTATTAAATAGATTACATATTAGACACACGATCAGTATACAGTATACAGTAAATGAGGAAGGGGATAGGAATTTATAGGGTCACCTTCTTCGAATACTGCAATTAGGTATTGAAATATCAATAGGTAAATTGTAATATTATTTTCAATTAGTACAGTATAGGGAATCAGAAAATAATCTTAGTATTTGTCGACCAATCACCTTTCTGAAAGGCTATAAATTCACGAGCACAAGAGATTGAAGTTAATTCTATAATTTCCATGGAAAAACAGAAAAACAACAATCACCTCTGTCGATCATGTCTATCAGTATATGGAAATAACACACAATTAGTTATTTTACTGTATAATCAAAGAAATACAGTATGTAACAAAAGAAAACATGTACTTTTGTTGACTAGGGTGAAATGAAACACGTGGAAGGCATGTGTCACAAGTGATAAATTCAATAAACAAAAAGAGTTAACAAAAAATGGGCACCTCCGTTAACCGTAACTATTTAAAATGAATAAACGAAGGTTATAGTCGCATGACATACTGTAGTTATAGGCATAAGTAAACTTTTAAAATACCTCGATCAACTATATAATGATGAGTTTCCATGTAAAAGTGTTTGTTAATGTAATTACCACGTGAATCTAATTGAAACCGAAGAATACACGGATACCTTTGCGGGACGCTATGACCATAGTTAAATAAAGGTTTAATAAGTGTAGATTCACTATGGTATAAAATAATACATATAATCAACAGGTACCAGTAGCGGTTATAGCTAAAAATTTTCAAGATATCAGAGCGCGTTGGTTATGTGATTGTTTGCAGAATAATTGGCAAAGTAAGGTGAAAGAGATACCTTTATGATGAGCTGTAGACATGTGTTCATTAAAATCAGAATATGCATTATGTGTTTACGTTAGAGAAAGGGAATGATGAAAATCAAGTACTTTCAAGAGATTCTGTAAGTTGAATAAAGGAAAGAAAGGAATTAAACTAAAAGATCGAATAGGAATAGTGACAAGATAAGAGATAGGAAAAAAAAAAAACAAAGTACTCTTATAGTTCATGGCTACAAGTAAACGCAAGTACATGTTAATTATCCCCTTAGTATATATGATGCAACAACCAGGGAAAAAAAAATAAAGTACCTTTGGCATGTGCTGCAATATTATTATGCGTCAGTCACTGTAATGTCACTAATCGCAAATAAAAAGAAATTGATATGGGGGGGTACCTCTAAGATTTACTAAAATATTATCACATCTGTTAGTTATTTGATTCACTCACGCCGGTAACAGAAAAAGACAACAATTGAAAAGATATACATTTGCGGAATGCTAAAAAGGAAAATTGTTGAACAAAGATCAAGAGTGAGTCGCGGCAATAAAACAGAAAAGAAACAGGTTACCAAGAAAAAAAAAAGGCATTACTCTCTCGGAATACTGCAAATACATAACATTAATTATTATGCAGAGTACGTGTCAGCTAGAAGAAACTAGAAGGGTCATTAATCTTGCTTTTTATTCTTATCAACAGGTACCTTCAAGGGATACTAAAAGTATGTAGTATTGTTATTACGGCATTACGTGAGTCGTGTAATTTGTTTAATAAAAGGTTGCGAATAATGGAAAAAACATGTACTCTCAGGGGAAACTATAGTTATATTGATATGATGATTAAAGTTTTAAGTAAGTTTATTTGCACTCGGTTGGATTAGGAAAATTCTGAAAAGAATAGTGTACCTCCATCGGTGATGCCTGGGTAAGTGACGTTGTCAAAGGAAGATTATATCAGTTTGCAAACAATAGAATATGGATGGTCCTAAGGATTGTAGGATTGTAAAATGGATACCTTGTCGGTGTCCTAGTAAAGTCATACATTATTACTGCATTAAAAAACGACTTAAGTAAAGAAAAAATTCTATTGAAAAGGTACTAATTTGAAGTCCTAGTATAAGTGCATGCGTTAACATAAAATGATATAAGTTGTTGATTAGCATTAATGTGACCGACAATAACAACAATACCGTAGCACTGTACGTAAATAAGTACCTTCGAAGCTTACTATTGGCATGATGATTATCGATAAAGAAGAATTGTTATTGATTTTGAAAAAAAGAAATCAAATTATTATAATAAACAATTAAAAAAAGTGCATAATTACTGTGTTGTAAATCTATTGAGTGGCGTATGTTAGGCGTGCGTGCACATTAGCATTTCAAAAGGATAATTGATGAGTAAGAAATACCCTCAAGGGACACTGTGAGTACATTAAAAATTATCAGTACAATAATATACAATAAATAAATTAATGAGTGAATAAATAAGAAGTGATACCGTGGCGAAATGCTAAGAGCGAATAATTATTATCAATAAAAAACGTTCATCAGCCGGATAATTTTTAGTGCGAATCAAAAATACCTTCGCGAAGTACTATAAACATAGAAAGCAAATAGAGCACGAATGTTAACTACGAGACAAACATATCGTTGCCAATAAAAAAAAAAGGACATTCACCATCAGGGGATACTAAAGTTGTGAAGGTAGGATTATGCGAATGTATTTTAATTAATGCGCTGTTATACCGTATAACCAATAAAAATACAATTCACAAAGACACGTACTTTTGCGGGATGCTGTGAGGTGTATGCGTTAGTTAAGTGCTCTTGGTTGAAATAAGAATGGGAGTACCTTTCAGGAATACTGTAAACACATGAATCATGCGGTCAATGTAATGTGGATAATAGAAAGGAAAAATGACTAAAACCATATACCTTCGCCGAATTCTACAATCATACGATACACATTGACCACCACAACATGAATCATGAGAAGAAGAAAAAAAGAACGAGGAAAGTTTTTCCATAAAGAAAATTGTACCTTCTACAAGTAAGAAACATATGATCAGTATGTTCATCCGAATAATAAAATCGATAGGTTTGGGAAAGAGATAATTACCGTCTCGAAGCACTATGCAGCATAATAGAGTATGATGTGTTAATTGCGTCACTTGTATATCACAGGCAGGTAACAGGGAAAAATGAGGAGTTACTACTACCTTCTCGAAAGACTATGTAGGCAGGCAGGAATATACTTTAATCTCGTGAATTGCATGATTGATTTAACCAAGTAGTAACGTTTACCTTCATGTAATACTAGTACAGATGCACACATTGGTTACAATATGTTATTCGCGTAACATATCAGCTGAAAAAAAAAATAGTCACCTTCATGGCGTACTGTATAGGGCACATTAGTGACCGTTTAGTTAATCGGATGAAAAGAGAACGAAATTAAAAGATGATCGATTACCTTTGACGAAAGCTTTAAGTAAAAATTTTCGTATTAGTATACAGCATACTAAGAAAATTGAAAATAAGCAAGTGTAACGTACCTTTATTGAATTCTGCAAGTATATACAGTAAATGATTTAACAAAGATGGGTGTTGAACGCGAATATTTATGCTAAATGAAAATTACCTCTATCTTGAAAATAAGCTATCGGTATATGAAGAGACGTTAGCAATTACTGTACAGTACAACGTAATTGGGGTTACCGGGTCAAAATACCATTGTGGTACGCTGCGTAATAAGGTTATGTTTAAGGCGATTAACTGATAGAGAAAATATTATTGCGAGTGGGAATAAGTAAGTTGTGTATACATACCTTTATCGGCTATGGCTTATTATCAGGTACTGGTTAGTTACACATCCGATACATATAACCAATCAAGGGAAAAAAAAGTTACCTTTACGAATTTCTATACAAAGTTCGCGTCAGTTACATACACACGTGACATTAAAGTACGAGTACGCGTGATAGAGATGGAAATTTTTTCATACTAATGCTTGCTTCTACTATTGCTAAAGCGTCTTGTGAAATAAAAAGGTCGTAGTTTGATTATATGATGAATGACACAATGTGGCAAAAGGGAAAAGCAAATTATATAAAAAGTTACCTCCAGTATGTGAAGATGCTGTGAGTATAAATGCACTAATGGTCAATTAAAGAATGCATTCAATGATATAAAACAGGATTTATTGAACTCGCACATACAAGGTATTGCTATAAGTGTGAAAATATCGTGCATAATTAGCAAATTGAAAAAAAAGGGGAGCCATAAAAAACAAGTACCTCCGAGTGCTGATACCAGGGATACTATGAATATATACTCATTGTTAATGAGTGGAATAGATTATTGATGTGGTAATTGTCAACAAATAGCACAGTAAATACCAGAATCACGACCTTCTATATTCAATGTCAAGAAACGAATACATATGCGCGTGTTATCAAGACGATCAACGCGATAGAACCACTTAAAAAAATCAATAAACAAATAAAGGTACTCTCGGGATATACTAAAACAGAAAGATATTATTAGGTGGAGAATAAAATTGAATACCACGTTAATGAAAATGAATATACCTTCGCCTTTACGTGAGTTAGTTGAAAACATAAATTAGTTGCGCGTGTTCATTGTGGTCTGAATAACGAATAGAAAATAGTCACCATTCTCGTCGAACATAACAGCTAGTGTTATCAAATGAGGGGTATGTGATCAGATAAAACCATCATTAACTATAAAATCGCACCAAGTCACCGGATATACCTTTATCGAGTTCTGGATTATTTAAAGAAATAATATGCTGTAAATGTATGTCAGGTAATATACAGTAGAGAACAAAAAAAAATTCCTTGTGTACCTTTAAAGTATGCTACATGTACACGTATAACTATTATATAATTAGATACAGCACAATAAAAGCATGAGATCAACAAAAAAAAATGAATAGGCACCGTCTTTAAACGCTAGAAGATATTAACATCAAGCAAACTCATTAGTTGTTGAGTTACAAGGTACGTCCTAACGAATTTAAAAAAATTTAAACTTTTCATAGGTACTTTCAAAGTACGCTGTGGGTAAGTCATAACATGTGTTAGATACATATTCATTATATACAGTATAATAGAACACAAGGTTTATGTAAAAACACGCACCTTTGTCAATGTATTCTGCAAGTACATGAATAACGCGTTAATTATACGGTATATAATTAGGGAAGGTATGTATATAAAAATATCATGCACCTTTATCAGCCATGGCTATAGTTACGAAGTTAGATGTACAATACATTTAGCGTGTGTTACGGCGATTATATATGAGGAGAAAGATGCCATGGAGATACCTTTCTTGAGCACTAGATAAAAGTGTATGTGTTACCAATGCGTCATTGTAATACGACTAACAAATAAAAAATTGATATATACCTTTGTCGAGTACTTCAAAAAACATAGGATTTAGTTATGATTTAGTAGGAAGGAATTAGAAAAGCTATAGTTACCGTCGTTATCATTGATTTCTATTATGTACATGGATTACGCGATCAAGAGTATAAAGGTAAATATTGTATAAGTAATACTGTAAAATGAGAATTTATTATCGTGCCTCGAATGAATTCTTCACGATTTTCTGGAATGCAAAACGGTCTCCTGTCAGTAATCCTCGATTTATCAAGAACTGAACAAATCTGTATACAGTACCTTCAATGATCATAACACAGCTTTCTGCAGGTACGATAAGTATACATAGGTGAGAATTAATAATGTGTCTCTTGGAACGGGAAATATCACGTGTAAGGAAATTTAAGCGCGCATACCCTCGCTGAACATAGAGAGTTTTTCGTAACAGCTTTCCAATTTTTGTTCAATATTTTCATACGCGTCATTGAACTCTTTAGATATATTACTTTCATCGCGGCATTTCTCAATAAATTCATCCATAACCCTTTCGCAATTCACAACTATCCGGCCGATTTCATCTTCACACGACCTATTGATGCTGGGATTATTTTGCCATATCGCAATTTGTCGACTGATCGCATCCATTTGTTCGATCAGGGAACTAGACGTGCCAAATGCTTCAAATGCAAATCTTTGGTGGGACACGAGGAAGTTTTTCCAACGTCCTTCTATCTCTCGAAGGTCACTGATATTAGATAGTCGTTCTAATTCTTCGGTTGTCAGTCCATCGACAATTCTCGCGCAAGAGTCTATTTTCATCACCAATTGCTGGGCGAGTTCGATAGTACCTCGGAGGTAGTTGGGTGCGATCTTGACGAGATTTTCAAGATTTTTTAGTCTCTTTTCTTTTAGTTGCACGGTATCATGTCTGACGGGTATCCTCCCACAGGAATCAAGAGTGCTTATTTGATGATGCATCAACCTTTTCAACCCATCTCCCGGAACGTTCGGCTTATGTAAACTGTCGATCTCTAGGAAAAATGAATGAATGAATGTACATACGTTTATCATAGTGGTCAATTTGAACGTGAAAAAATTTTTGCTCCATACCCTTGAAATCCCGAAATGTTTGCACACAACCTAGAAAGAGAGAGTAATACTTTAAGATGCACAAAAATGACCGATACGTGCAAGCATAAATAAAAAAATATTACCCTTCATTATCTTCCTAAATTCATCGTCTAATTCACCAATTCGTACGAAAAGAATTCGGTTCGCATCTAAATGCAAATAACGCGGGATCAATTATCACAAACTAAGGTGATTGACAATTGAAAGGTATTTCTCACCAGCAAACGAAGAAGCCTCCTCGCGACTCTCGGGAAGAGCGCTCTCTCCATTTTCCGAGTTAGGCTCTATTTCAATGAGCGCAATGACTGTCTCTCGGATATAATGATTTTTCAATATGTTCCACCCTTCTCTAACTCTTCTCAGTGATCCGCGATCATCAACATCGTAAACCATCATAATGCAAACCGATCCCTTAAGATACCTACCCAGACATCGCACGGATGAGCACATTTACGATTGTCTTTAAAATTTGGTATAAGTCATCACTCACTTTTCACAATTCTCGGCGGCATTATGGTCAAACGAAGTACCTATCATAGAATTGCAATAAACGTCAACCGTCCATGCGTGAATTAACTTTTGAGACAGCTTGATAATCAAAGACGATACCAATTTTTGCGAATTCCGCTTGGACCACACTCCTATCCAAGAAAATCGTCTTGTGGTCTGACGTAAATTTTTCGATGAATGGTGAACCGATAACTTTCAGTTCACCAAAAATGACAACTGCATAATGTAACCATGGTGGTGATGAATTGACACGTTTTTTGTTTCATTCGATTACTGGCTCGAATATTGGCGTTTACCTTTGAAATTGTAATTTTCTCTTTCCCCCATTTATTCGAAATAAAACAATTAAAAAAAGGAACGAGTGAATGACCTCGGTTTAGGTATTAATTAAATACTCTATCATCTATTATGACAAGTATCGGTGGGTAAAGTCCGAACCTATCACCATCTCGGATAACCTGCTCCGTTGTTTTCTGCGTGCATGAATAAATCGAATAGTGAAACGAACGCAAGTGTAGTACGTGTGCACTATGGAGAAATTGCATAAATATGATGCTTTTCCGCTTCAATATTTGTGAAATTTCGTGAGTTTGGCTATAAAAATGTCTAAACCAATAACATTGAAATACTCGAACACGAGTAAGAATTATGCCGAATGGAGAACACTCTATGAACAAATATTCGAAATTTTCAAGATACCATCAATATCAAAAGAATTTGCATCCAATGCACAGGTACGATTTAATCATTCCCTTGTATTCTGGTTACAGCATCATCTTGCAGTACCTTTATTGCACAAACAGCAATGGCTAATGAGATTGGCTTCAGCCGTTGTTCCCAAAAAACATCGCTTTCTATTAATCATGATGTCAATGTATTTCACAAAATTTACGCGTTCAGATCATCAAATGCGATTTGGTTGTCAAGCTTGGTGAAGTTTTTGCAAGGGCTTCCAAAACCAGAGCCCGAATTTTCCGCATATACGCCGACGTGATTCAGGTTGATGATGATCTGGATATTTCGACCGTAGACGGAGGTGGCATGATCTTTATGGTCGCGAGGAGAATAGAAGTGAAGGAGGGATGCAAGGTCACAATAAATTGTGGGACCAAGGATCCTTTCCGAGTAATGGTGTACGCCATGGAAATTCCGTGTGAACTTTGCATCATAGCAAAGGATTCCGGTTTGCAAAACGAGCATCACTTCGCCCTAAATAGACCAAACCTTGGTGGGCTACTTACTTTAAGCAACGACGGAAAACATGAATTTCAGGATCTCCCAAAATTCGATGAAACAATTTTCCGCAAAACTTCTTTCAGCCAAATGATTCAATTTTCGTTGCACATAGGAATCTCAATGCTTTATGATGAACCCGAGATTACACGATCGATTCTTCTATGGATCATTAAGATAACCGATGATTCGGAGATAAAGATAGCAAAAGAGCTACACACCCAAGGACTAGCGATGCTTGTGCAACTTGAGATCTCCCTGGGGATAGCCAAAAATGAGACATTGTTTATTCCACAGCTAAACTGTGAAGAGTACGAGAAGATCATCGAAAGTTTTTTGAAGTCCGCCTTGAATTATGAGCGGGAGTATGATAATTATATCAGGCGTACTGAAGAACAAGTTTCTGCTCAAAACATGTTGAACTATTATAATATGGTGGTCAAGGGAAACAAGGATTTAGAGAGTAGGGCGCAAATTCGCGAGGTAGCAGCATACAAGGTATTAGAATGTATGGAGAAGAACCTCGAGGTATGCTAAGGAATAAAAAAAATTTTCGCTCGGGGAAAAAAAAAGATAACATCATTTTATAAGTTGCCTAACATTGTTTCGTTGATATCCCATGTAGAGTCAAAAGAAGCTTTTGGAAGAGGCGTCTAATAGGTTTAAAGAGGGGGTGGATGAATGGTTATCCGAAAAAGAAAATGAAGCAAAAAGAATGATGGCTCTTGCCGTCGTTATATTCGCTACAAGCGTTGGCGAATTTTTAATTCAACCGCATAACGCTGTATGTGGTTTGGCCGAAACCATTAAGAGGGGTGTCGAATCGTATAATTGCACCAAAGAAGCATATGATAAGGCGATGGAGACCACGCAGAAGATCGAAGAGATCTACAGGTCATTGGAAGAAATCGAGAAGATTTCCGCTAATTTGAGACGCCATCACGACTTAGCCAAGAGATGCGAGGGGGTTAATGGTAGTTTCGATGTGGATAGTCTTGGAAAGGAGTAAGCGTTTCTACATTACTTTTAAAAATTGGAAATGACACACGCTCATTGTTTGTTATTTTACAATCAGTATTGAATCCGTCGATCATCGAGGAATCCTGGCACGTAACAGATGGAGTTCATTTATAATAGGCATGAGATCGGTGCTTCACGACGTAAGTAACATGGCACAAAAATCCCTCGAGTGCGGTAATGTCAAATTACATATAAACTAACTTTTCACCAATACTGTGATATATTATCATAAGCCTATTGAAGAAAGAATCGATGGCGCTGAAGATTACTTGTGCACATTGGAGAAGTCGTACAATTGTATTGTCGGATATATTGATGCCAAAATCGAAGTAATAGCGAGTCATGAAAAACTCATGCGCCTAAAATTCCAGACAGAACTCACAAGAAGAAGAAAAGAGATCGAAGAGGAAAATGAAAGCAAAAAATTAACACAAGAAATGGATTCCAGGAATCTACTCTCTCTATTCGAACGTTTACTTAGCATTAAGGGTTGGATGCTGATCTATATCCAGAATTATAATTATGCTTATAATTATTGGTCTCTCGACAATTTCAAAGTTAACCTCTCGACCACAAAAACCACAACCCAATATAGGGAAGATGTGAATCAAATCAAACAAAAAATCATAGATGCCAAAAACAGATTTCGAAAAGACCCTCAGACTTTGAATCATGCAATGAAATTTTCCGAAAAAAATTATGTTGACGAGTTTAAACAAAATGGATCTATTGTGATCGAATTTCCACTAGATTATGATAAATTCAAAAATTTTGGATACATGCGACTAGTAAGATTTGGTGCATTCTTGGAGGGAGTCGGATCTGAAGGTCAAGAAATTTCTCTTCGGATAAGTAATACCGGAAAATTTTCGGATAAATATGGAAAGGATGAATATCACTTCATCTCGGAACCAATAAAAGGAAAAAGATTTATATACCGGGTACCAGGACCTTCAGGGTGTCCAGAAGTGATAATGGATAACACATACGATAGCAAAACATACTTTCTTCCCACACCTTTTAGCCAGTGGACCATCGAGGTCACCGAACCACTGGATTTGTCAAGATTGACGTCCATAAAAATTGAATTGACAATAAAATGTCATGAGAATCACGTACATTAATTCGTAGAACAGATTTATGAAATCAATATTTGTAATAATATATGTATTATATATATACTGTACTTGAATTCATTTATATTCATTTGTATTTATTTATTTATCATTCATTCATTTGTTTTTTAAAAGATGTTATATGCTTATTCTTTCATCTCTTCATCATTTATTTACCATTTCAATAAAAAATAGAAATAATTACATGGTCAGGGACCATTTTTTAAAATCTGGTTAACGTTTTCAAATTTCAATAATTAAGCGATACTGTATACTGTGTTGGTGTAAGTATAATAATAAACGTACGGCATATTGTAATCATGTTTTAGATTTTCGAAATCTCATTTATGTGGTTCAGTCTTGAATTATTAAGTCGTATTAAAATAATTAACCAAAACATTCATAAGGCTATAATATATGGTAGTGTAATACATACATATATGCATTAATTATTATATGTTGCATTGCTATTTTATATAAAGTAAAAATTTTATATAATTATTTTTGAACAGCATAAAAAAAAAATAATATTTACAATTTTAATTATATAATATTGATATTAAAATCATCAATATTATATTCTTATTGATAATAAAATCCATTTGATAAAAAATCTTTACATACAGTTTACTAAAAAAAAATTTTTTTTGTTTTAAATTGGTTTAAAATTAATTAAAAATTAATAATAAAAAGAATTGTTGTTTTTTAAAAAAATTCTAAATTAATAATAATTTTGTGAATAACGATTATTTATTAAAACAAATTATCTGAATACTATTATAATTAATAGAAAAACAATTATTCTATATTACATTTTTTTGTTTTATTAATTTTGTATGTCAAACAAACATATTTTTCATAATAAATTTCGTTCGTAACAAAATTTTCTGTTGAATTTAAATAATGATACTTATTTGATTTTTATAATTATTATTTTAACAAGTAATTTATTATTAATAAATTTTATTAAAATATTTGATGTTTTATTTAATAATATGTATACGTATATGTGTATATAATTTTTGATAAGTAAATAAGCATTTGATTAAAAAAAAGCTATTTATTTATTCTGTATTAAAAAAATTTTTATATAAAAAAAGTTTGTTTTTTTTTTTTTGAAAAATAACAGAATGTCTGATTTTTTTCTAATTTAATAAAAATTTCTTTTGTTTATAATATTTTTTAACATTAAATATATGTAAACCTATCTACTAAGTATAAGTTGGTATGGTTAAATTTACAACGGTAAAATAGTTTGGTTCAACTTACAATTAGTAGAAACATTAGTGTGTATAAGACCATTTAGATGTATGGTATAGATATTATCATTTAATGAAATTTATAGCATTAATTGCTTTTTTATTTATAAAATAATAATAATACTAATAAATATTTTAAAAATATTTTATTAAATAAAAATTGTAAATAACAAATAAAATTTATAAAATTTACAATTATTTGTAATTACAAAAGTTTAATAAAAATTTTATAATATGTAAATTAACTATACGGAACATGTTTACCTAATATATAATAATTAATTTTATTAATAAAAAAAAATTTATTACACGATAACTAATGTTGTCGTCACCGGCTAACTTCGGCTTCTTCTCGCGTGACAATAATTCGAACGCTTGGATTTCTTCACCAAATAATGTAAGGCTTTAACTCTGAGGCGGTTACGATTTGACCGACTTTCGCGCACTTGCTAATCTCTTCTTGACTGTCAATATTACAAGACACGGGGCAAAGCTAACTCAGTCTCTCCTCTTAAAGTCGTTTACTTTACTGTAGTGGTGTACTCTCAGTTTATAATATTGTGCGAAGTTGTAGCATTTATTTAATAGAGTGAGAGAAAGTTAAAAGAGCGTTCCAAAACTCTAAACTCTAATTACGAACAGACGCGAGCTAACTCTCTCATTGACTTAAACTGACTATATCTTGTTGATGCGTTCATTCCATTACATGCTATTACCAATTATAACATTATTCTATCATTATTAAAGATGACATTAAATGAATGAATTTATATATTATGTATTTGATTTATTTGTCAAAAAATAAGTATTCAACATTATAATAAGATAAAACAAAAGTCCTGTATTTTCAAAGATAATAAATAATGTATTTGTGGTTCACTATAGTCATATGTAAAAATGTATACGGTATGAAAACCCATGTTTTATATATAAATAAATCAACGTATTATTAGTAGTAGTACCGAATTTTTTTATTAAATGTCCGAGTTTAAAATCGTGGGAAAAATTTGTCGAAAATTGAAATAATGCATTCGTCGTTATGCACAGAATTGTAATTTAAAACGGTAAGATAGGCGTTCTTATTTGATTTGATAGAGAATTGGGATTCTAATTGTTTTTCGGATTCATTCTTTTTTTTGCACCCACGTGAAAAGTATACAAAGGAACAAGTATAAAAAAAAAGCGACTTATAGGTCAATCGAATCATTCTCTGTATGATGATGGACATAGTATTTTTTTCGTACGCACGAATGGTTTCCATTTCCCGGCTGATATTAAGGACTATCTGGTTTGATATGACATTTAAAAGGTTTCTTTATAAGTCTCAAACACTGTACCTCGATATCAAGTAATCTTAATTAATGAGATACAAGTTTTTCGCCAGGGCGTACCGTATTTTGCACCGTGACCAAAATTGATCGATAACCACCTTACTCCCCGGCTTGGTGGTGAAAAACCAGGAGAATCTAACCTTCAAACGGATTATGCGTTCGATCGATTAACCATAACTTTATTATTAATACAGTAAATGCGCGTCAATTTGCAAAGTCTAATATAACCTATTTTTATATTATACCCCACGACCCCTATATCCCAATTTATAATAGCCATCCCTCTAAAATTAACTACTGTACAACTAGATGATTAACCAATGGTTACGTGATCTAGTCATATTGAATGACGTAGGTAATTTGGCTGTAACATACATACAGTATTAAAAAAATAACTGTCTTTTCGAAACTTGATGTGAGTAAGGAATCCTACTTCAACAGATGAAAGATTTTTCAGCGAGCTCGATTTTAAACAAATCCTTTCGTTCCGAAAAAGGTTACACAATGGCTAGATTATCATTTTTGACCTCGAGCACGACCGAACGTTCTTGCAAAGGTATGGGATTAATGAGATCATCGTCATTCTCATGGCTATTAAATCTTTCGACGTTAGATGAAGCGGAGGTATTTGACGTGTGATCCTCATTGCCCTCGATCATTGAAGAGTTGTTTCCGTGGATTCCCCAACCTTCGTTCATCACGTAGCAGATCGCATTTCCAATGCCCTATGAAAAACCAAGATTAATCCAGTGGAAACATTTTGAGAAAAACTTTTAAATCGTTCAACAATAATTACCCCAAAATTAAATGATATCGCAACTAATGCATACACCCAAGCTGCGTCTTTCTAAAATAATTGAGAGAAATAATTATTAACAAGAAATAAAAAACCCAAAGTCAAAAGTAGGCGAATACTTACGTCCAAAATTTCATAAATGTCATAGGGGAATATAGGAAACTTAAGTGTGAAGGGTTAAGTCAGCATATTATCCCTCGAATTTATTAGTCTATTACTTTAAAAAAATTACTCACCCATTGAAGAATAAATACCAGGATATAACCCATGACTTTTTTGGTGACTTTAGCCTGGATGTCATCTGAGGTAGAATGCGCCATGGCCGATTGACGACGATCTCTCGAACCTTTAATTCCATTGAGATGACTATCGCTGCTGTTGCCGTTTTTGGGAGTTGCATTGACGGTCGAGGCCTGCTTTACGACGTCCCGTATTGCCATTATGGTTTTGAAGTAGCAAAAAACGACTACCAGTAGTACCACCACGGAAACTCCCAATCCAACGATTACGACATAAATTTCACCTCTTGCAGCACCACACCTATTTTTTTTTTTTGAATAGAAGCATATAAGGAAAAGAACGGTTCACCAAATCCTTAGATGAAACATTTTTGTGCATACCAATAATACGTGGGCCCAAATTTGGAAGATCCCATGATCGTAAATAATAACGCAATCGCCCCGGAAACAAACCACAATTTCCAGTCATATTTACCATAATTCCAATAAATTCTTCGGCACACCCTATTTTAGGAATAAGATCGATGAGCATGTACTGGGAGAGATGGGTAGCAAAAGTAGGGGAGAATGACTGCTTACCTCAAATATGTAACGACAGCAATTGAAGCGGTCATGAACCTTTCCAAGAGTGTGAAGGCGATTGATATGCCGGCCATGACCTTGCATGTTTGGTCGGGCCAATTCGTATGATAAATTACTGGATGCATCTTTGTATCATTAATGAATTTTGTATTCAGTAATCTAGCAGGAATCTAGGATCATTAAATTTCTAATTGAACTTACAAAGTTAACAAGTTCTCCTACCCACAATATAGCATCTAAGCATGAGTAAAAGGTCTCGGTTAGCATGTCCTAACAAAATTCGTGTGTAAACTGGTGATCAATCACTCACTTAGAACTCCCAGATAAAGAGGAACTCTCAAGGCTATTGACAGCGTCTTCTGTGTATCTCTCCATTTTATATATATTCGTACAAACACAAATATAATTCCGACCAGGCTAAAACTCATGAATACGAAAGCGGTTGTGAAAACCATCACAAATCCTACCGCATCACCTAAAGTCACCAGAGGAATGTTGAGTTAAGTTGAGGTTACCAAGAAAGTTTCTATCAGTGTTATCATTAGTATGATTTCAAAGGATCCCATACTCACGGTCAGGTACATCGTCATAATAACCAGCCGGAAATACGCTTTCAATCAAGCTTAAAAATACTATAATACTCAGAACCAACTTAATTAAAGATAGTGACCGTGCCATTTTATCTTAGGGTGTAGGTGATTTTGAGTCTTTTTAATAGAAGCTTATACTAGGAAAAACTTAGACGATGAGGTATTATCAAATTCCAAGAAAACTTTTTAAATAAATGAAGGACAGTCAATATATTGGGTAAAGATAAATGGAAAAAAAAAAGCACGAGTGAATTAGAAGTTTTTCCTTGGGTTCATTTATATAAATTCGCATACCTATTCAAAAGGACTGGCGAGCATAACTTTTGTTCGTGTGCGTTACCAATTTTAAGTGAATTTTAGTATAACGTTGGCAATTGGTGTTAAAACCACCATTCGAGAAATTTGAAACTCGAGTAGAACTTATGCATTTCTCTTACCAAAGAATCTTGCGAATGATCTAATCACACTGATTACCTAACCGATAACATTAAAATTCAATTGGTAGTGCTCATTTTATCCATCCCCAAAAGAGAATTCATTAAGTATCCGCTAAGTCTGCTTGGTCATTTGTGTAGAAGCGAAATGGGAACGATTTGCGATCCACTTTAATACAACCTTGACCGCGATTGGTAAATAGAAGAGGTAATGCATGGTGCATTAGCGGGGAAAATATTGCGTTGCGTACGCGTGTGCGTACATACCGCATAAATTAAATTCCCATTACATAAGGTCGATGCAACGTAGTTCATTCATTGTTGGCTTAAATGCCGGGTGTCAAAGCGTAAGCGTTTCTTTTTCAACAAACAAACATGATTATTGTATTGTATAATGTTTACCGGTTTGTTGGATATCCATACTGTACAGTAGATGACAAAAGCCGGCACATTTCATGCCCACAATTTTTCCGACGAAGAAATTATCAAAGATAGATCGTAATATTGGATCCTTTGTGTTTCCCATTATATAATCGATGTTAAATGCCATAATCTCTTATTCTACGTTATTGTTTGTTTTCAGATGAATTCTCGATTTTTTTTTTTTTTTTTTTTTTTTTTTTTTTTACCTTTTAGAGTTATTCCGTGCGCCAATAAAGATTCCAATTTGACAGGAAAGAATTTATTTTAATTTTTGTGAATCGGGATTCGAAGTCGAATGATTGCATTCGTTTTCGCGCGCAGGAAGTTATACAGCCCACCTTCTTTCCTTGGAAATCAAATTTCTTGTGCATTACGCACGCACGCACGCACGTATGCCGATGCCAACTGCAAACTTACAAACTTATCCATAGTATATACGCACTGCACTGACTGCACGTACCGTTCTAGCACGAAAAGGGTTACACGGCATCTTATGGGTAAATAAAAAAAAAAACCTAAAATTTTCCAGGAGCTTCGAAATGTCGATTATGTGATGATGACCAATGAACTGTATATGTAGATCGATCAAATTTGGTATTATTAAAGCTCAATATGGTCATCCCGATGAACTGGGGGATGTGCGGGAATGACGCACCTAAATTCAACCCACCGTTGTTTTACGGTCGGATTCTATGTCAGAATATGGTAAATTTTACTAGTTTCGTTTAACCATTCTTTGCAAATTAAATTAATTTGTAAATAGTGTTACATTTTTGCAGGAATAATAATAGGCAAAATAAAATTTGTGGCATACGTTATTTCAATAATTTTGTTTACCTTTTTTAACGTTTACTTTATGTACCGTGCGTTGCATGATGCTTTAACAAGATTTTGCGCGAGACGAATTTCAATCTACTGTAATTTTCATAACATCAAAATTTCATGTCACGGAATAAAAGTACCTGATATACAGTTACTGTAGCCTTTTCTAACTTGGTTTATTTTTAAAAATCAGCCCACGGTATAAATTTTCACCATGGAACAAATATCATAAATAAGGTAAGTGAAAAATATACTGTATACTGTATATCTATCAGAATGAAATAAAATGAAAGTAAAATGAAAATGAAATTAAATATCAAACGATAAATTATTTTAATTTATTGCGTACCACTTGACGGTAAAGCAAATTAGGGATGGTTCTTGGTGGCAATTGTTTCGAGTAGAAAAGCGCCTGATAGAAAATTTTTTTTTACGTTTAACGATCTATGCAACGTAAGTTATTTGAATATACTGTAATGTTTAACAAATCCCATACATGCCATATACTGTACATAAACCATTTTATTATTTATGATAATATGATATGATATGCCGCATATACTATATATCGACATACACGCGGTATATTGAAATATTAAAATTTACGGATTGTTCATTATCGAGCATACCGCAAATGAACTACTGTATATATGAATTTGCAATAGCGATCAGACCAACAGTAATGTTTGTTGATATCCTATCTATTATTATTTTTTTTTAATGAACGCACGGTGTTTCTTTTTACTGTATTTATTTACTGTTAAAAAATTATATGTATACAAAAATTTAAAGAATTTTATTTCAAAGAAAAATTACATTCACAAATAGCTAGCCTCATTTATTAACAATTAACAACTAATTATTGATGAATTAATGAACTAATGAACTTGTAATTGAAAAAGTTATATTACAATTTTGAAATGATTATTGTACTCAAAATTTATATTTTTTATATTTTTCTATTATTTTTTAATAAATACTGTGATTATATATTTAAATTAAATAAAAATCCAATTTTAAAAAAATTAGTTAATTATTTTATTAATTATTAATCATTTCAATATCTTATTTTATGCTCAAATATTATAAGAAAACAATGTATATATTTATATTGTCTTTGCTTTAATATAAAAAATTTACAGAAAACTTGAATAAAAAATAAATTGATTTTTTACAAAATTTATTAATAATAATTAAATATGTTTTTAATAAAAACTATTTATTTAAAGTTTTCAATAAAATTGTTTTTTGATTATTTTTACTAATTTTTTTTTCAATTCAATAAATAAATGTTTTAATATATATATATATAGTTTATATATTTGTAATAAAATTTATATATTTTTCTTAATAATATATTATTTAAAAACCCAAGTTTATATATATATATATATTAAAAAATAAATTTATATTTTTAAAATAAATATATTTATATTTATAAATTTAAAACAAAAATATTTTATTAAAAAAAATTCAAAACTCAAAAAAAAAAAAAAAAACTACTTGATTTTTAAATCTTTTTTTTTATATTTTTTAAAACTTTTTTTTTTATTTTTTCAAGTATATAAACTTTTTTCTGATTTTTTTAAAAAATTTTGTTTATTTTAATTTAATTTTTAATTTTTAATTATATTAGAACTTTTAAATAATAATTGATTAAAAATTTGAATTAATTAATTTATATGTAATAATAAAATATAAACATATATAATATATATAATATAAATTATTTTATTGTTTAACTTAATTTTTAAAATTCTTAATATAAAAATTAAAAATTAAGTTTTTTTATCACAAATTTTTAAATATTGTTACATTTGATTTTCATCCAAAATTATCATTACTCCTTGTTTGATTTTTACTAGCATTTATTCTTGAAATACTGTCTATTCTAGAATAATTCTTTTATTACTATTCTTGTTATTGTTTAGAACTATGCTTATTATACTATTGTTACTCTAGAATATTTTCTATTTTACTTATTTATCTTTATTTTTTTATTTTTATCAAAGTATTTATTTCTATACTAATATATACAAATAACTGTTCTGACAAATATAATACTTCTTTTATCTCTCTATTATTTCTTATAACTCATATTTATCATATACGAAAATATTATAACTCAAACATATATATAAAGTTTTCAATTTTATCTAGGAATTAGAAAGCTTAAACATATATTTTATTGAATAAATATCTTGATATTTACAAACAAATCATTATTGTTTCTTTTGCCTAATCTCTTACATTTCAAAACTGTACTAATTTGTATACCTTTAGAAACTTTAGTATATCATATTGGCCTTGTTCATTTAAAGTACTTTCCTGCTACTAATTCTTTATCTTTCTTTTAAGGTAAAAAAGATATACGGTAGCTCACAAAAATAACCGATCACTAAAATAAATAATGTTAAATATAAATAAGTTAAATAATAATTTATAAAAAAAAAAATAAAAATAAAATTTTTAAAATATTTATATTTAAAAATATTAATTAAATAGTTTAATATAATTAATATTTATTCTTGATTTATTATTGTTATTTTTTTATTTTTTAATATCAAAACGATACTTTGAAGATCATTTCAAAAAATTACGATTAATATTCTAGATTAACAAATTGTTTCTAAATCCATTTGATTGGTTATTTAACAAGCCACAGTTTTATTATGCTAAAATTTATTTAATTGGTTAATTAACAAATTATACTTTCGCTATTTTATTTTATTTTTTTATTTTATTTAATTATAATTTGCAAGATAGTAATAAAACAATCGTAAAGTAATAAAACAATCGTAAAGTAATAAAACAATCGTAAAGTAATAAAACAATCGTAAAGTAATAAAACAATCGTAAAGTAATAAATAACTGTAAAATAATAAAATAATCGTAAAGTAATAAAATAATCGTAAAGTAATAAAATAAACATAAAGTAATAAAATAATCGTAAAGTAATAAAATAATCGTAAAGCAATAAAATAATCGTAAAGTAATAAAATAATCGTAAAGCAATAAAATAATCGTAAAGTAATAAAAAGTAATAAAATAATCGTAAAGTAATAAAATAATTGTAAATAAAATAATCGTAAATAAAATAATCGTAAAGTAATAAAATAATCGTAAAGTAATAAAAAGTAATAAAATAATCGTAAAATAATAAAATGGCTACAAAGTATTGCAAAATAAAATAATTATAAAACATATAAAATATTTGTAAGGCAGTTATAAATATATAAAATAATCGTAAAGTAACTTTATCC